ATAATCAGGAGTGAAGCACATACTTTCTATCATGAGATCCCTGAACACTGAACCTCCTCAGTTCAAGGACAGAGAACTGTGGCATCGGACGAGGAGCTGAGAAGTAGCAACACCAGAACCAAGAGCCAGAACATGACACGGAGCCGTGGGCTTCCCAGTCCATGGGACAAGTCAAGCGGAGTGGCTTTGGACAGGAGGCTTGCTTGCAGAATGGGGTACCTCCAGGCTCTTAATTGGAGGCGCTAGGTTTGCTGACCCACAGAGTTGCAGCCCATTGCCTTCAGGCTGAGGTTTATAGTGGAATGGTGTGTCCTGTGGGCATTTATCAGCAGCCCACAAAGAGGTTTATAACATTGCTAAGGTCCAGGGACGCCTGCCTGTGGACACGGCTGGGGAAGAGACTGTTCCAACTGGACGAACTGTGTCCTGAGCATTTCTGACCTGTTACCTTCCGTAATAAACCCCAGAAGTATGACGATGGTGTGTGAGTTCCGTGTGGTCATTGCCATGGTTTTTGTAATCCCACTTGAGGCAAGAAGGTTCTAGAAGGACTGGTTTGAGTCACTTCTCTGGAGTGTGAGAATCGATATTAAAGGTTAAGGTCAGGGTTAGAACTGAGGGTTTAGGTTCAGACTTAGGAGGTGGGCTCAAGCTAGGGTTAGGGTTCGTGTCAGAGGTAGGGTAGACATTCGCTATTTGGGACCGTCTCATTGAAACCAGGAGTCCTGGTGTGGCGCTGTGGGTTAATGCGCCAGACTGCAAAACCATTTGAACTGCAAGGTCAGCAGTTCAAACTCACCAGCTGCTCCTTGGAAACCCTATACAGGGTCGCTATGGGTTGGAACCTACTCAACAGCAGGACAGCATTGAAACAAATATTTCAAGCAAGTCACCTGCATGTTTTTGCTTTCCAGTGTATATCAGAGTTCTATTCACACTGTATTGCAGTGTATTCAGAATCCTGCTGTGGCACTGTAGGATAAGCACTGAACTACCAACAAGGTCTGCTGTGGTTCAAACCCACCAACAAGGAGGTAGCTATGAGTCAGAACAGACTCTGCAGCATTTAACAATGACCAACAGTCTAGTAAGTATGCAGTGATAGCATAATGAAACAGCGTGTCACGATGCCCAAAACATGGACCCAGATACACATGACCACACACTGGTGGACAGAGTGGCTCAATGCAGAGTGGCCAGAAGCCTTCTACTTGTAAAAAATGCATTATCTCCAAATTCAATAGCCCAAGGGACTGTCTGTAACCACAGACTTGTGAAGCAGCTTCTTAGCCCTCTTGGATCTCCTCAGCTCCCATCTTGCACAAGGCGGTGATGTTAAATCATTGTGTTGCTTGCTACTCAACACACCCTGTGCAGGATTTTTGAGGAGCCACTGATGGGTTTGAACCACCAGCCTTGAGGTGAGCAGTCCAGTGTTGAGATCCTACAGCGCCACACCAGGACTCACAAGGTTGTTGTTGTTGTTAAATGCATTCGAGTCGGTTCCAACCCATAGCGAGCCTGTCTAGAGTTTTCAAGGAGCAGCTGGTGAGATTGAAGCAGCGACCTTGCAGTCCAGAGCCTTAACCCACAGCACCACACCAGGACTCACAAGGCCAGGGGCTTCTTATTTGTTGGACTGCAAGCACATATCCCCCGTTTCTCAGCACCACACCCAAAATGCAGTAAACACTCCTTCACAGCATTTTTATTTGCAAACAAAGCGTTTATTTTATTGGCACGTTCTAGTAAGAACCGTTTTTAACTCCATGCGATTGAGTCTGTGGGCCGCTTCCTCCTCTCCACTCTACAGAGAAGGTTCACGGCTCGGTTCTTTCCTGAGCATTCAGTGGCACAGAATTGGGGGCTGTAACTATGCTTTTCCTGCAGCGTAACCCCACATGCTACAGTCTGTTTTGCTTTTAACCTATTGCCTTCCAGTCAATTCCAGGTCATAGCAACCCTGCAGGACAGAAGAGAAGGGCTCCTTGGGGTGTCCAAGGCTGTCACCTTTAGGGGGCAGGCTGCCACACCTTCGAACCGCCTACTTTCCCTTTAACAGCCAGATGCTCAACCAGTTCCCCACCAAGCTCCTTACTTGGCTTTGCATATGTATCTAATTTGTTGACCTACGGATTTCTGAGGAGCGGCTGGTGAGTTTGAACTGCTGACCTTACAGTTCACACCGACCTGTCAGTTCAGTGCCTCACCAGGACATTTGAGGCCTTATTTGAAGAGCTGGTTTAAAGGTTCAAAGCCCACTCATATTTGGACATACAGACAAAGACGCCTTCTCCAGCGGATGCCTTACAACTCTACGAGAAAACGGAGTCTGATCTTGGAATGCAGTCCTTCCAACTTCTTGAGACAGAAACAAGCAGTTTGTGAGGGTTCTTGTTGTTGTTGTTAGGTGCCATCAAGTTGGCACTGACCCATAGTGACCTTATGCACAGCAGAATGAAACACTGCCCGATCCTGGGCCAACCTCACTACTGTTGTCACGCTTGAGTCCATCGATGCTGCCACTTGGCCAATCCATCTCGTTGGGGGTCTTCCTCTTTTTCTCTGACCCTCCACCTTACCAAATATGATATCCTTCTCCAGTGACTGGCTCCTCCTGACAGTATGTCCAAAGTATGAGAGACGAAGTTTGGCCATCTTGGCCTTCAAGGAGGGCTCTGGTTGCACTTTATGCAGAATGGATCTAGGATCTATTAGTTCTTTAAATCTGAGTTCACTTTTGTATGGCACTGTGGGTAGACTGCAAGGTCGGCAGTTCAAGCTCACCAGCTGCTTCTTGGAAACCCTATACAGGGTCACTATGGGTTGGAACCAACTCGAAGGCACTTAACAACAACACATACACTCAGTTTCCAAATTCCCTGAAACCCAGCACTGAGCTAAGCCATTTTGAGGCACAGGCCGTCAAACTGAATCACTTTCATCCAGAGGTATAACAATGTCATCCTTCATTTGCTGTTTACATCTTACAGATCAAACCCTTCATTCTACAGATAAACAGGGCTCTTGTCACCCACAACACTTTTCACATTCTCTCACCCAGCCCCAAGTATTCCCTCATCACAAAGCCTTTTCCCCCAAATCCCTTTGCACAGACTGTGTCCCACAGAGTAAACATTTCCATTTCAATAGTAGTCTTAAAAATGGCTTTGCAGCCCAGTCAGCAAGGATCCTAAAGCTTTATTAAGGTGCTCACATGCTCTTCCCTGAGCACATTTATTTATCTAAAACCACTGAACAGATTTTCTGTGATTATCTGGAATGAGAATCCGTGTGGAAAGCAGCGATTGTGTTTGACTCTGTGGCTTGTGAGAATTCCTCATGGTGGGTGAGAGGATGGGACTCCTCTTTTTATTTGCCCAGAAAAGCAAGAGCAAATTTAAAGTGTGAAATCACAAAATTAAGGGGAGACTTGGCAAACTTCCTCGGGATCCTGGGGTTTGCTCAGGGGTATAGAAAATGATTGTCAGCAGTAATATTGAGCCATTCAGAGTCACACATACTTCCCATGATGCCCTGCACTCACACGGAATTCTCCCAGCATGCCTCACTTGCCCATTGGACCACCAGCAGTTTACCAGCATCCTTATCACATTCAATATCTTGATAAGAGTATACAGGTCTGAGCGAGCATCAAAACTCCGCAGATGTAAACTTAAGGTTTGTGTATTTCAGGGCGTGTATATGCACACCCAATATAAATAACTATGGAATTCTATGTTGTGAAAGGGCTGGAGATGTAAGGTTGCGATGAGAAATATTGTTACTGTTGTCGTGTGGTGATGTGGAGCCAGTCTCTTGACTCGTGACGCCGTGCACAACGGAGTGACACGCTGCTCGGTCCTGTTCCGTCCACATAAGGGCTGGAGATCCACAGGGTTTTCCTTGACTGAGCAATTGCTGGGTCAAGGCAGGATGCTTCACCCAATGGGTCAGCAGACACGCGGCAGCTCCATCTGATTCTCAATCAAAGAATCCCTGGGTATGTGAGGAGGAGGTGTCGGTGGTCCCCAGACATCCCTCAGGATGAGGTGGTACTTGAGAGAGACTTCAGCACTTCCTAGAGCAATGCCAACATCTGCCAGTGTCCAACGTGACCCGCTTAACAAAATATCAACAATTGGGTCTTACATACATGGGGCATGCGACGAGGAGGGACCAGTTCCTAGAGAAAGGCATCTTGCTTGGTGTATGGTCAGCGAAAATGAGGGACATGCTGGGCACGTTGGCTCCGACCTAACAACTGTGAGGATGAAGCAGGCCCGGGCAGCCTTGTCTTCCGTCGAGCGTGGGGTCCTTATGAGTTGTAAGCCACATAGTAACAGTAAGCGTATAGATGTATATGTGTATGTGAATATAGAGACAGTTCCTATGTGTATGGATATATAGTCAATAAAATATACTGAAAGGATTTGCTCTTCAGTAACCAAATCAGAAGTTACCGTCATCTATAACTAATAAATGATTTGGTCTTTATTTATGTTCATTATGACTACATAGATTAAGAATCGCTAAACTCTTAACATGGAACCACCTTTGATAGTGGTGCACTTACTTAGGGAGTAATGAATGGGCTAGTGTCAGATGCTGGACTAGGGTGGCAGGTAGTCATGCTGACCCAGGTATCTGCTGTGGGGACCATCAAGATGGACTCTTACACTTTCTTACAATGGATTTGATTCCCGGCAGTGGCGTTGGCCAAAGCCCTTTGATGCCCCCCTCTATCTACCCAGTGACACAAGTCCAAAGACATTGTGGAAGGCGTTTGTCCAACGCTCTTCACTCTGAGCACCAAAAACCTTTGGGGTTGGGAGACTTGTTGAGCTCTCAGCCAGTCACCGAGGCGATACATTCAAAGGTCAGTCCAGAGCCAGGCGTTTGGACAGGCTACGTTCCCCAGCCCCACTTACAGAAATGCATTTGGGCAAGGAAGATGGTGGGCCAGGCATGGGCTGCCTGTCTCTTTCCAGGGCAATCTGCTAATGGGTCACTGTTCTCTCCTGCCTTTCCTTGTCACACTGGCAAGACAGCCCCGAGGAGGAGCAACATAGCTGCAGCCATGGCTTCCAGACAAGGTTCCCGAAGGACAGCTGGTCGGGTACTACGGTCAGCGTCTTTTTGTGACCATCTATCGCCTCGTGCATGACTTGAAGGATATCAAGGAAACGGGGCTCAGTCTCGGGAGTCAGCGGGTTCCTCTCTTGAGGGTCTTTGGAAATATCAAAGAGTAGAGGTGGATGGTGGAGGGTGACGAAATGCCCGTGGCAAAAGCACACGTGTGTGCTATAGCAGCCATTGGCACCATCCGGAGTGAACTTTGGTGTGAAGAAGAACGCTTTCCAGATGGACGTGCCTGCAGGGGCAAAACACAGAAGCGGGGGTTCAGTCACATTGTACAAAGTGCCACAGTACTTGCAGCCAATGAAAAAACACGCGGGCATTTGGCTGCCAAGTGCTTTCTGGGGGTGACGGCTTATCATCACTTATGAAATGTATGTACCTATCACACTAACAGGACTCCTGGTGTGGCGCTGTGGATTAATGCGCCAGACTACAGAGCCATTTGAACTTCAAGGTTGATGGTTCAAGCTCACCAGTCACTCCTTGGAAACCCTACACAGGGTCGCTATGGGTCAGAATCGACTCAACGGTTAACAACAACAAGTCACACCAACAAGGAGCTCTGGTAGTGTACTGGTTATGAATCGGGCTGCGAACCTTAAGGTCAGCAGTTCGAAACTACCAGTTGCTCCGTGGGAGAAAGATGAGGCTTTCTGCTCCCATAAAGATTTATAGCCTCGGAAACCCTGTGCAAGGTCGCTATGAGTCGGAACCGACTCCACGGCACACAACAACAACAACAACAACATACTAACGGAGTCCTGGTGCGGTGCTGCGGGTTAACGTACCAGACTGCAAAGTCATTCGAATTGCAAGGTCAGTGGTTCAAGCTCACCAGTCGCTCCTTGGAAACCCTATACAGGATGGCTATGGATCAGAATCGACTCAACAGCACTTAACAACAACACCACCACACTAACTGAAGGAGCTCTGGTAGCGTAGTGGTTCGAGTCAGGCTGCTAACCACAAGGTCAGCAGTTCAAAACTACCAGCTCTTCCGAGGGAGAGAGATGAGGCTTTCTGCTCCCATAAAGCTTCACAGCCTTGGAAGCCCTGTACAGGGTCGCTATGAGTCGGGACCGACTCCACGACATATCACCATCACCACCACCATCATACTAATGGACCATAAAGTCACGCATTGCTGGGCTTTGTAGGTTTGTGTGAAAGTGTCTATGGGAAGTAAGATGAAATGAAGGGGTGGCTGTTACGTTGCACATTTTGTTGTTGTCCGATGCTATCCAATCAGTTCACGACTCATGACATCTTGTGCACAAAATAACAAAACCCAAAACCTCATGCACAAAAGAACAAAACCGCCCGGTCTGTCCCGCACCGTCCACATACTGGATGTGGATCACACTGCTATGGTTTTCAAGGGCTGTTAGAAGGGCACTGCTAGGTCTTTCTTCCTACTCTATTTCAGACTGGAAGCTCCACCGAGACCTGTTTGGCATCACAGCAACACACAAGCCTCCAGTGGCAGACAGGAAATGGCTGCATCAGGAATCGAACTTGGATCGCCTACATAGAAGGCAAAAACCCTCCCACCAAGCCACCACTGCATGTTAAAATGATAGCAATTCCTTCTCCAGAAAGTTTTTTTTTTTTCCTTTCTCTCTGTCTCTCCCCTCCTCTCTTTTTCCCAATCCCTAATTTATTAGTCCACACTGAACTAGCAAAACAAGAGAACGCTGATTCTTAATTGTACCGGATTGTCGTCTTCACTTAAACAACATTCCGACTTGGAAAGGCAGAGCCGGTATGCACTAAGTATTGTTGTAGTTGTGTGTCGTGGAGTCGGTTCCGACTCATAGCAACCCTGTACAGACCCTGTTTCCGAGGCTGTCAATCTTTATGGGAGCAGAAAGACTCATCTTTCTTCCACGAAACAGCTGGTAGTTTTGAACTGCTGACCTCGCGGTTAGCAGCCCGATTCGTAACCACTACGCTACCAGAGCTCCTTAGTGAATAGAGGGACTCAAAGTAGAAGGTCCCAGCTCTGTCATCTCCTGCTCTCCAACCACACAGCCACTTTAAAGGTGCCTCCTGGGAGGTGAGGGATGAAGCAGGCACAAGGCTAATGTGTCAGCCAGCAGTGGCTACCAAGCCATATGTGGACATTTGCCATCAGGAGCAATTTTAAATATGCTAGGACCTGAATGACCACTTTATGTTCTTTGTGTTAAGAATGTGCAAAACTATCAAGTCAGAAATTAAATGAAGCTGGGGCAGGATGTATCAGCAATGAATGCAAACAGATGAAATGAGGTTATGATGAGAATTGTGCAAATTGATGTATTTACTAAAAATCTTTCCATTCGACGTCAAAACGAACTCAGTGAATTTATCAAGCTGTTGAACATTTAAAATGCAGTGAATTCACCAAAACCCGGGTAGGATGGTTCAGCAGATCTTAAAATATAATTTCAGCATTCCACTGGACCCCAGAACACTGAAACTTCTTAACACCTCCAAAAATGAACTTACAAACAAATGAAGAATTCTAATGTAATCAATTAATTTCTTATTCCACAAGCTGGTATCAAAAATTCTCTAATCAAGGTCTAAAAATGCTCCCTGGGTATGCAAAGTGGCAGAAGAAAAATAAAGAATTAAAACACCTGAAATAACCAGAATTAGGCGCCGAAACAGAACATCCTTTTCAACATGATCTTGATACTTTTTCACGTGACACCAAAGAGCTAGCATCTCCTAGCACACTTAGACGGCTTAGAGAATTTCTAAAAAGGCAACACCAAGTATAGATATTTCATGATCAGCTGATCAACATGTAAAATAGCAGAGTGGAGGAGATGCAAACCAATCATGATTAGTGCCCACAAGCTGCATCCAGTGTCTTGTTAGATGTCTTGAGTTGGCTCTGCACAGCAGAGTGAATCACTTCCCCGTCCCATACCATCTTTAAGACACTTAGTGGCTCAAGTCCATGTATGTGACCAATTTGTGTTTTGAGCGCCTTCCATCCTGGGGGTGATCATCTTCCAGCTCTCTTTCGGACAATGTTCTGTGGTAATCCACACGGTTTTCATGGGCTGATTTTTACAAATAAATGGCCAGGCCTTTCTTCCTGGTCTCAGCCTGGGAACTCTGCTAAAACCTGTCCACCACGGTGACTCTGTTGCTATTTGAAATACCGGTGGCAAAACTTCCACTAGCCCAGTCACATGCAAGCCACCCAGCATGACACATTGTGGTCCGTGCTCGGCTCGTGGGAAGAAACTGGGATGTACCGCGTCAGCCACAGTGTCTGTCATAAAGAAACACATCAAAGAGGCCAAGTAACGAGATGTTCCGGTCTGTGGCGTGGCTGATCCTAAGAGCTCTCCCGCACTAAGCCCACTTCCAGAGATGACATGCACAATCCTCAGACCGCAGAAAGAATTCTCTCCGCATGCTTCTCCTCCCCTGCAGCCATTGAAATTTGTGTTTTACTTGCCAAATTCATGGTGTGCTTTTTCTTAACTTATCATTACATTAGTGTGTTGCAGAAAAAAAAAAAAAAAAAGGAGATGTGACATGACATTTGCCAATTCTGCACCTGTGACTCGTACAATTCAATGAAACCAACCACGTCAATTATGTTGCGCAACCACGATCAATATCTACTGCCGACTTTTAAAAGGAGGTATGCAACTGGAAGATGGGGAATTCTTGATCATGCCAAGGATTAATGCTAACGGAAAGGTTGGAGTACGCCCAGACACATGTTGGAACACAGACCCAGCAATTGAAAATGCAGCCATTGAAAATCCTGTAGGGCACAGTTCTACTCTGACACATACAGGGGTACTATGAGGGAGATCTATTTATGAGTGGGAGCTACTTATGAAAAATCATCCACTGAGAACCCTGTGAGCACACTTCTACTCTGACACACACGGGGCACCATGAGTGAGATCTACTTATGAAAATCATCCACTGAGAACCCTGTGGAGCACAATTCTACTCTGACACACACAGGGGCACCATGAGTGGGATTTACTTATGAAAAATCATCCACTGAGAACCCTGTGGAGCACAGTTCTACTCTGACACACAAGGGGGCATCATGAGTGGGATCTACTCATGAAAAATCATCCACTGAGAACCCTGTGGGGCACAGTTCTACTCTGACACACATGTGGCACCATGAGTGGAATCTACTTAGGAAAAATCATCCACTGAGAACCCTGTGGAGCACAGT